GGATCTAATTCTGAGTAAAAATCTGAGAAAATCTACCTGAGAAATTGCTGCAATTATACCACTGATATAAAAAGGCAATGACCATATATGGTGCACCCACATCTTATGCAAAGGTACCAATGTGTCACACATGATGCATAAACATGGAAAAGAGTTAAGCAACGATGACTGATCAATTCTGTGACTCACCGTGCGCGTGCGGTCACGTCGGAGTTTTACTATTTATTAATTTGTCGCGGCTATTGTTACCCCGATGAATACGAGACAAACCAGTCCAGAAATATACACGTATGAAATGTAATACTCAATCAAGCTCGTTCTCGTGAAAGTTCTCGTAATGTTGTCGCAGGTACGTTGCAAATATGGTCACACGATCATCGCCGATAGGAATTACTTATTAATGAAGAAACCGTCTGCACGTCATCAATAGCGTGACGGTCTTCTGCACACCGGGACCTCGAGCTGTCGATATCGTTTGATCGTTCTCTCGCGTAGATAAACATTGACCTAAACCGTGCGAACGATAAACCTGTTTCGCGATGCACGTGTTGGCCTGCGTGATGTCCGACCAGCGGGAGACACGCAGCGCGTACACGTGCTGCGTATGACACTATATGTGTCACACTCTCTATATTTCTAGGGGTGAAAAGTGGTAGTATTTTCATTGCAAAATGTCCTCGAGATTTTAATTGGAGATGATAATAAAAATACTGCCACTCGAGATCACAGAAGCGAATGTTTCACGCAGGTTTATGGTGAATTCTGACTCGACATGAGCGGACGTTTCAATCGATTAGAATGGATACGTTTCCCTGGAAGTGGAATGCATCAGATTCACTCTTCAATGTCGTGTGGAAATATTCACTCAACGGTTCAGAGCGGAGAATTCGCTCTATACACTGAGCGAAAAGACTGGTAACTATAACAAATTGCATTTAGTTACAGAAATTCATTGAATCCTTAGTAACTAATACTAAATATGATAATAATTACCAAATATTTAATAGATCGGGAGTATGACGTAATTGCATTCACAGTAACATCAATTAAATAATTTAGTAATAGTTACTTAATGTTAAATATTTAATATGAAATATATTACAGTTATGAGCAGATATTTGATAATTGTTATGAAATTGTTATATCCCATGTAATAAAAAATTCAGTAGATACGAGTTCTATTTTGTTACCAGTATAAGTATGTTTTATTGCAGCACGACGAAAAATTCATTCATTTGTAGCTATTACATCGTTTCAATATCTATTATTACGGATGGTTGGTTGAACCTACCAAAAATTTTGTAACTACTACAAAATAGCTTATTTTGCTCAACTATTCAATAAGTTTTATTTACCAAATATATTCTGGAAGCAAATAAATTTTACTTCTGTCAAATAAATAATTTATTTTACAGAACTAAATTAATTAATAAGTATTGCCATAGCTTTGGCCCGCTATATTTACGTCTACCATTTAGTAACAGTAACCAAATTTTGATAATATTTACTAAATTCTTCTCTCAGTGTAGGATTTTGTAATCGTGGAATAGATTGACATTCTGCAGTAATTAAAAATATTATTTCATACATGCTATTTATCTTTCAGGACTTGAAAAATTCGCTATGTTCCTTAGCAACACAGACTTCACTGACAGAATACGGGCTTAGTTACAAAACTCTATATTGATGTTTGCTGAAAAATTCTCTCTCCGTGCCCTGACAACATCAAATGGTTGGTAACAATAAACTCTCCACTCGACACGTGTCATAAAGTTCAAGGGTCGAATGTAACAATGTGAATACTGACTCCCCGACTACTTCCGCGTTTTCGAGACCTCGAGGCAGCTCCGAAACTACAAATTTCCTCGTGACGCATTCGTTCGACCGACGTCGCGTCCGTAACGTCATCGTGTTTCCGTATGATGAGGATACAAAGCGCGTGAGGTGCAATCGATTGACCATGCATGTGTGGTGAAAGTGCTAAATATAAATCAAGGATATACAAATCAAGGATTAGAAGAGAAAGTCTTTTGTCGCAGCGTGAGAAAAAGCCGCGGCCCGAGAGAAAGAAACTGGCGGCAAAGCGAGGCACGAGTCTCGGTGACTCAAGAAGCGGGATACTCCTGTGTGCTTTTTATCTCGGATTAGATAACGGGCACGCAATTTTGCACTGATATTACATGACCGGGCACGGATGAGATGCATTCGCGGTGTTCTAGAAAGGCGAGCGACTTACCGAGGCGTGACGCCCACCATTGCTTCGCAGGGCTGGAAGTCACGATTTCAATGTAAATGTCAGCATGTACGTGACGTTATATAATTATCTAATGAAAATCGGACGCGTACGCATCTGGACATTACTTGACAGCTGATTTTCTCTCTCTTTTTCTTTTATCCATTGAAGACTTGACCTCACTCGACCTGAGGGCTAAGTCTCGAAAGACACTTTATGGCTACTTGCGCGGCCTTCCGGACGTTATTCCCGCTCCATTCAACGTTCATGGCATCGTTCTCAATAAACATCAACTGTTACTTCGATGACTCAACGATGTAACTGTCACGCATAACATATACTGTGTCGCGCTTACATTGTTGTGTGTGAGTGGGAAATTATATACTACTGATATTGATTGATGTCAGTTGGGTTGCAAGTATACGTTCGCTGAAATTGTCCAGCATTCCGCGCATAAATTTCATATGCATAAGTCAGCTTGTATTTTCTTTTGCAAGCACGATCTTTCCCGCGTTGTGAGTTCGCGCCGATATCAGTACGGCATTTTTTTATTTCGATTCGTTACGCGTTGAGCACACTGAGAGAAAAATATAGTTGTCTTCGGCTATACTCTTTTGTGATTTTAACCATAAAAATAGTTAGAAAAACTATTATTTTAGTAAGTGTTATTAAAAAAATGGTTCTTCTAATTATTTTTTGAATTAAAATCACATAAAAGTATAGTTGACGCCGAAAGCAGCTATATTTTTCTCTCAATGCAGCGCGCGTACATTGAGAGAAATTATTCGATAAAAAATTAATAAACGGATATTTCCGATCAATTTTTATATTCGATTAAATTTAATCGGATATTTCCGATATCATAACAGCATATCATTAGATAGACCGATCAAAAAATTATGAACCAATATTTCTCATTGGATATTTCCTGATTGGATACAAAAATTTATCAGTATTTTGATTAGAAATATCCGTTTATTAATTTTTTATCGAATAATTTCTCTAGATATATGAGAGACCTCCTGCAACTCCCCAGTTTTCACTTATCGCTCATCGTAAAGAACACACATATACACTGAGAGAAAAATATATCATATTTCAAACTATAATGGCATAGTAAAAAGATTATAGTTAGGAATATTATTTTTATAGTATATATCACCATAATGTTTGTAATATTTACAATATAAGCATAGTATAACTAACCCATGTAAAACTTTTACTAAAAATTATAATTATTTAAAATAAAAAAATATAGTAAGGTAGTAAATATTGAATGGTAAGAGAAATTAACTATTTTATATAGTCAATACAATTGACAAATATAGATACATGTAACTATATTCCCAAAGCGTGCTTTATTATACACATAGAGTAATAAGATGGTGACTATAAATCTGTGTACATTCTGCTATATCTTCATGTTTAGATGAACTATAAATATATATTTGAGACTAAAACGAACTATAAAATATAGTGAGATTATAGTTACTCCAACTATTCTTTTCTCTCAGTGTACAGACGATCTGTTAGTCCAGACCTATAATAAGTGTAGTAAGCCTTTGCAACAAAATTTTTTAAATCTTAGACCAATTCTGGTTGAAATTATTACATATTTATTTCAAAATTTTAAGTACGTTTGATATTCTACTACAAAATTATTGCAATTGCTTAAATATTTATTTATGTCAAGTGGATTATTTATTTTAGAGTTTTATATTTATATTTTGTAAATTTTAGATTTACAATATTTTTCTATAGCAATTTTTTTATACTAAAATTTCAGTATAGTTCAACTTTACAAAGATAATTGGAGAAAGAAAGAATATAATTATGACGTAATTTTTATAACGTAATTTTTACAATATTTTTTCCGTGTATGATCCTTGCTCTAAAGGCTCTTTCTATAAAAGTACTTTCAAATTAGAAGGATTGTAGATCACTTAATGCTCCTAGGTATCTGCATAGTTCATCTCTTTTAAATGACGTCAGAAGCGAGGAAACGCATTCTTGTGAAATACTTGCGAAATACTTGAAATAAAAAGACATCCGTAAAGCGACACTCGCAGTCGATCGAGCAAATCTTACAATAGTTCGAACACTTTCCCTTTGCTTTATCAATAATTTACCGTAAATAAACATGATGAAATTATGTGGAGAGATAGGTTAAAAAGATACGTGGTATGACGTACGTACGATAATCAACGGCAAATTATTGTTTGTTACAGCAAAGGGGAACGTTCGGACTATTTTACAGATTTGCTCGTGTCGCAAGTGTTGCTTTACGGATATATCTCCTTTTATTTCAATGTATCTCGCAAGAATGTTAGTATGCGTTTCCACGCTTCTGACGTCATTAAAGGAAACGAGCGCGATGCGAGCGCCCAAGAAAAACCTTGAAGATTTTTTTTAAAGAGAGTTCAGGATACAGCCCTTGGGTAATTATATTCTTTTCCTAGGAGCGGAAATGCGAATAGTGAAAAGTTTCGCGTGAATTCGACAATTCTAACAATTGTGAAACTTTTCAGACGATAAAAATGCCGAATTTCTCGCGTGAGAGTCTTTCTCTTCCACGTTTCCACGCCTAGAGAGAAGTTAAATATAATCGCTGGCAGTTGATCATGAAACATAAATCATCTTTTCCTGCAGCGTGAACTCGTTGAGAAGTGAAAGCTTTTCAGCTTGAAAAAGCATTTGGAAATGTTCACCTTTCACGAGTTCACTAAAGGGAAAGATTTATGATCGCTACCCTGGTCCGACGTGGGTCTCAAGAAGTGACCCGCGCCGGTCGCGCGGCGCGCAATCTCCTCAAGCTCGCCAATCTCCTTTTGTTCCTAGCCGCGTTCGCCTTTGCCTCCTGCGCAGCGGCGTTTGCTTTGGCCGCCGCGCGATTTGTATTCGCGAGATCTTGCCGAGCGATCTGCAACTGATTCGACAGCTCGTCCACTCGCCTTTTGGCTGCCTCCAGCAGCTCTTCCTTCTCCCTCAGCGACTTCTGCGCCCCGCTCGCAGCTGCCTGCGCGTTCGCTGCGTTCGACTTTGCCGTACGCATCGCGTTCGTCAATGTCCTCAACTAGATTCGCCGGGAAGGAAGCGGTCGAGGTGATGAACGCTTCTTCCAACCTCTTAGGCCAAGTTCCACAACATCCGTATAATTTTTACCAGTTAAGTTCCAATAGTGATTGGTTAATTCTGATTAACTCTTCTTAATGTCAAATGCGATTGGTCAAGTCCAATGGAATAACCAGCCAGTTAAGTTAACTGGAGGTTGTGGAACTGGGCCTTAGTAAGCTAAACCAACAGGCCAACAGTTAACTCGTATTCCTGTCTTTGTTTCTCCTTCAAATTGGACAGAGATAGACATCCCAAACAGCACGGATCTCTACAGGAGATTCTAAAGACATTTTGAGGACGTCCCTGAGAACGTCTCCAGGATATTCTGTGGAGATCTTGTGCTGTCGGGAATATGATTTAACTGTTAATTAACTTACCAACAGGTTGGAACAATCAGTTCTAGATCAAAGTCAAATCTTATATTTAAGATCGTTTCAAGTACATTTTCAGGTAATGTACAGATTATTTCATAGGCTGCGCTCAGCGGAGGAAGCTCTTTTGCAAAATTTGTGAATTTAATTGATGTGTGCTCTTAATCTTGCCTGAATCAAAAGGTGTATTCCAATCAGATTCTCGAATTTTACAACAGTTGCAAAGCAGCTTTCTCTGCTGAACGCGACTTCTGCTATGGAACATCTGAAAATGAACTTAAGGACAATCTTATATATAAGATCCGACTATGAATACCAGCATGGCTCGTTTGAGTTCAAAGTTCGTATTAACCTTCGCGGTCCGAGTTGCTTCGACTTCTTAATCGATCCGTAGAAATGTATTCGTTTACTTTGCGACAATATATCGAGTAGTGTGCATTTATTTGAATTTTGCAGTATTTAACTAAAATTTTTAGTAAAATATTTACATTGAATATACTATTAATAAATAAAAGAATACTATTAATGACTAAAGGGCTGACGTTTTATAGAATGGATTAGAGCGATGTAGAAGTAGACTCGACACACGACCGCGAAGAATGAATAGTTATTATTTTAAACTCACGTGAGATTTGGGAATTTGAGAAAATCTAAAGTTAGATCTGAGCTTTCTAGTCGAATTATATTTGTGTATATTTGTAATTGCGAGTCAACTGAAAAACTCACATCTTGCTCCATATTTAAATCTGAATATCTCATGCGGAGCAAGTTTCAACTATCGACACGAGCAGTTTCGAGTAACAGCTATCAACATTATTAACCTAAGTTCAAGTAACAACTAATCTAAGAGCTCAGAATTGATCAGAACGGACCTCACAAGGAAGATTGTCTCACAAGAAGAAACCACAAAGCTCAAGAAGTGTAACTTTTTTTCACTTAGAAAATATTTTTGTATGAGAAAATATTTTTTCAGGCATTTCCTTGCGTTCCATCGTTAGACTCGGCATACCTGATCCTGAGACTGCCGCGCCGCTTGGATCGCAGCGTTGACGTTAGTCTGTGCCTGTTGCAGGGAGGACGTCTCTTCCTGGACCACCGATCGAGCCTCCTTCACCTCCTCCCGCAACTGCTCGACTACTGCTTCCTTGCCTGATAAGACCGCCTCAGCGGCTTTTGCTGCTTGAGCCGCCTTCTCCGCCAATTGCGCCTTCACCTATCATATACATCACGGTGTTGTATATTTACAGAGGAAAATATGAATCTTAACACACACACACACAAACGCGCGCGCGCGCGCGTGCGCGTGCGAACGTAATCGACGGTGCAGATCGCTTTCGTGCCACCAATTCCACGACGATTTCCTCTCTGCGGCTCCGTCGATTTAATTGAGAGATTAGAAAGAAATAAATTAGAAAATTAATCCTGCCGATAATAGGTTCTCCCGGATCAGAGAGTAGCAAAATTTGCGGAAGATATTGTTATTTATTTTATAAGTTGAAAAGGAAGTGACGAAACATTCATGAGGTTTGTACCGCAGATTTTGTGTCACAAAAACGAACAAGCGAGTGCCAACGTGGGAGTGACAGTCCGATAATTTTAAATCTGATATTTAAATTAATTTAAAAAAATTACAAGAATATATTCAATTAAATTTAATAAAAAAATGTTACAAAAAAAAATTAATAAAAATATTTTTAAGCAGGGTTAATATTTTTAATTAATATTTTTTAGTTGAAATCAGTTAAAAAATTTTAATTAAAATTGTTTGAAAAATATATATGTAAATTTAATTTACAAAATTATAAAAAAGATTAAATTGACGTAAATTCTCTTGTATTTAAAGTTTAATTTAATTTTAAATTAAATTTTTAGTTTTAAATTAAAAATTAAGATGAATTTAAGTATTTCTATGCCACATGAGGGAGAAATGGCGTCTCTCGCGAAATGTCTGAAAGATGATATGTGTATAATGTAATTTTTCGAGTACTTGACGCGCCGCTTGCTGACCAGCGATATTCTGAGCTTCGGACGCGGCCTTTGCTTCTGCGGCCGCTTTCTGCGCGATATTGCTGCTTTTTTCGATTATCTTCTTCGGAGGAGCTGCTGCGGAACCGCGACAGTTCCCACTTTCGGCGTGTCGAGTATCTCGTTGATTCTACAATTTTTTTCGACGTACTGTCATAGCAGTTAACGGTGTTTTTTGCATGCAACGATCCATAACATGTTTCAACGAGGAGAGAAACTTACCGCATTGACCAGGGCTTTACGAGCTTGCCCGCAATCGGATTCCGCGAGCATCAGCATGACTAAAGAGTGGCGTTTGCAGTTAGGACAGGTGCATCAGTCGTTTAGCCACGTAAAAAATGAAGGCACAAATAAATTAATAAAGTATTGTTCGCACTCACTGATGCATAGAACATAGAAAATGTTCATTTTGAAGGACAGATCCAGGTGGTCGCGTTGTCCCCATCCGCAAAAGTCATAACAAACCATATAAATTTGTAGTCGGCGCTGTTGATTTGACAGCGAAAACGAATGAACGATCAGCGCTTCCTTCACAATGTTCACCGAGATCATCACGCGAAAATAATTGTAAGGTTTTGGACAATAAGTAGATGCTCAGGCTTAAATATCTCATTATTAGGATATCAGGAATCAGTTACGGAAGTGGAAATTGCATCACTTGGATAATTCGAGTTATTCAAATCCAGTTTCAAGCCGGAATTAAGATTCGCGTCCAGAACTGAGATTCAGATTCGAATGTAAATTTGAATTCAAACTCATATAAAAAATTTTAGAGAGAGAAAAGGGGGGGAGAGAGAGAGAGAGCGCGCGCGCGGAACATAATAAGCAGAAAAGAATATACTCTCAAGGCACGTGTTTTGAACGTCCACAACCCCTTCCGCAGCTATAGATTAGCTAGACCAGACAGGACTATAAGAGCTCCGATGAACAAGTAACTGGTATCAGTTCTTAGCTCCGGTCTTCGAGCAAGGACAGCTCCTGTTCTCTGGCGCTCGACTGGACTACCAATCCGGTAAGTATAGAAATTCCTCGCGTTAGTTTCTTCTATTCCTCTATTCGCAAGAGCACGCAATAGCAGTGGTACACGATTCGAAAATGATATATCTGCAATAACACTTTTCAAGATCAGTAAGAGTGCGAGAGTGATTTTGGACACGCGGAAGTGTTGAGTAGAATAGAAACGTCTGTGCAATCGGATAACCGGAAATTCGTCGCGAAGTAAGTCGACGACGACGACGAAAGTGAGCCGTTGGTTTTAGTCCTCTGTCTCGAAAATAAGCGAGGGAAAGAAAAATATTCTCACATGGAAGCTATGCGTTGTAGAGAGATGGGTGGAGAACTCCTCGAAATTCCGGCAATTATTCGCATGCGAGGAATTACCCTTTTCTCCCTCTTTTTCTTTCTGGAAGAGAGTTGCGTTTGAAGTGACTTGTATTTCGTAATCGGGAAAATATCTCGCGAGAGAAAATTACCCTATAATTAACTATATAACTGTTGGAATGTGCAAACACCCGTGCCGCATTCCGCTCCTTCATATAAATTCCTTTTAATTTTATTTCTCTCATATTTTTATTATTACCTATATTCCGCTCCTTCATATAAATTCCTTTTAATTTTATTTGTCTCATATTTTTATTATTACCTATATTTTCTAATAGTTCAGTAACAGCACAGTTCAGTACAGTTTACCTTGTTAACGGACATACACACACACACCCACAGTACATTTTTAATAATATTCTTTTCGGTTCCCCTAAAATAAACAGCATATATGAAACTGAAGAATATAAATTAATAAATTAAATTATATAAGTCAATTAAATTAGATAAATTAATTAAGGCAAAATATGTGTTGAGAGAGAAAGATATATATATATATATATATATATGTTACTCGATCTTATTTTATTAATTCTTTTTTACTATTAGTAAAATAGAGTTAGCAGTACTTAATTAGTTTTATGAAAATTAGTAATTCTATTTCACCATTAAACTTTTATTAAATTCTATTCGATTTTTACTGTAAAGTGTTCTCTTCGTGTAAAGTTCTCTTCGTGTAAAGTTCTCTTCGTGTAGATAAACGTTTCGAATACAATATCTGACACAAGTTGTCAAATCTCATTGGCTGTGTTAAGCAAAAGTCATTCACTTTAGAAACGATTATCTGTGGTAAATTCACGCTTCTTATGAAACTCAATGGAATTTCCTCCTTGCTTTCCTTTTTGCTTCGCTAAATAATTTCCCCACGAGTTATCTCGTTAAGTTGATTTCTAGGTCAGCCACACGCGTTATTGACGTAGTTTGCATTGCTTTCTTACGCTCAACCTTCGTAGTTACGCAAATAGTTCGTGCTAAATCGACCAGATCGTTAATAATGTTGCTGAAGTATCCTTCGTGTATTCACTCATTTTGCAACTTGTTGCTTGTAATGTTTTTGGCTTTGCAGATTATCAAGTAAACATATGTAAGAATGATAAATTTACGTGTTAACATTAATTCATTTTAATATTTTTATTTTTATATCTTAACATAACTTTATATATTAACATAAATTTATTTCGATTCATTATTTTTACTGTTGCCATTCTTGTTGTTGTTGGTTGCAATTAATGGTTGCAATATCGATCATAATATTGATTGCTTGTGAACTAGTACGCGTTTTAGGTTAATGGACGATGACGCGAATGAATATTGAATACGGCCGATCTTATTATCCGCCCGCGGGAAAAAAGTTGACGCCCTCGTTCGCGCATGTTTACGATAATCTGCATCGTGCTTCAGTTAATGCAAATTTTTATATTGCAATCACGTAACACCTCCGTAACACAGGGCGTGGCAAGACCGAGTTGCAACGAGGGAGAAAGTCTGGAGAATTTTCCATTTTCTTCTTTTATAAAGATCTTATTCGTGTACATGTCAATATCGTAAGGTTCAACGGGAGATTATTAATAAATTTCTGTTCTTGCGTGAGAAACTTCAAACTATCTCTTCTAATTCAATGAAATAAGGCCTATTTTAACAGTCGTTGCTTGAAAGTTGTTTCACTCGAAATACTTCGATTTGAATTCAGAGTTGGATCTGGTTTTCCTCAGCTAAATCATATGATATGTATGACGTTACACGTTGGTCATAATTATGCAAAAATAATCCAAAAAATTATAATTATGTCCAAAATATAAAAGCATCACATTACATATAATATAAAATTATGATTGTATCCCAAAATTATGATTTCCAAGTTCTTTGTTTTCCACTGGATACGTTTTTTTATACAAAACAATACCATTCTATACGTTTTTTATACAAAACAAAAAAATTTAAGCCTGATATGAGTGCCTAGTATTAATTAAAAAACAGTTTGCATTCTCTACTAGTTCCGCCAGTTTTTACTAGTTGCATCTTTTTAACCCTTTTTTCAAAATTCAAGTTTGTCAACGAAAAAAGAAGAAAATTGACTATGCTAGATTTCTTGAACGACTAAATCATGTGTCAGGTTCTCATCTTCATTTTTTTGGAACGTACTCCATGATAGTTGGATCATTTTTGCATCGTCATAGCAATTTGTAATCGCGATTCCAATGGAAAGAAACTCACATCCGACTTTAAGTTCAAGTCGAAAAATTTCATTCGAAACAAGTTCCAAGTAATTACTATTAACGCGATTGAAGAGCGAAGAGACAGACGTCGCATTCCCTTGCCTCCCCGTGTAAGGGAATGTGTGAACGTAAATTCAGATTCTCGTCATGGATAACTCTAATTATGACTGCGGTGAGATTGATACGTGGTATCGCTCGTCGTTCGTTTACTACTGAATAAGGCCCCAATGCGTTATGCTGTGACGTGCGCGCACTTTCCAGAGCGAGACGGAAACGGGTTTCCAATTTTAAGTTTGCGATCACGACATGCTGTTGCGACACTTCGAAAGGCGACGCGTGCGTCACGCGCGTTTGTTCGCACAGAGCGATTCAGCTTGCACTCGAGTCACTCCGCCAAACGCGAATGGCGCACGTTAAGGTGGTCGACCCGTGAGGTGTGAGATTTTCAGCGGCCACGTCAAGGTCGCCTCTCATAAGTTTACTGTTTACCGAACAAAAAGGGAAACAATTGCTTTCTTAGAAATTGATTCCGATATCTAAGCAATGGAAACAGGTTTATTTGAAGCTTCAGGCGATATTACGTAAATATTATTCCTCGTCATCCTTACTGGCGCTTTATTTATGTGCATTATCTTGGTACCAATTTGTAGAACAACTTATCAAACGTGACCTTTCTTGAAAACATTTCTAGTGGCAGAGTTCACGGGGGCAATATTGGCTACAAATTGGGCTCCAATATACATAATATTATACCTAATATTATACCTAATATTATATTGGTTCAGTATTGTAAAGTAGACGCATTTTATAGTCAATATAGAATTCCGAATATTGGCAAAATTAGACAAAGGTTACCACGGATTTACGAAATTAAACAAAATTCAAAAACATACAAGAATAAAAGAGCCAAAATTGCAGTTATTGTGTGCTATTTTTGACTGAAGAGGACCACATTACATGGTCGAAACGTATCTGTAAAATACTTTTTGTATCGTTGAATTATAGCACACAATAACTGCAATTTTGGCTCTTTTGTTCTTGTATATTTTTGAATTCCGAATATTGGCAATTTATTTGTTATCAATATTGGCTATATTGAGTTATATTAGTCCAATGTACCCCAAACGTATGCCAATACTGGTACAATCATCTTATGATAAATACTGGCAATTTATTTACATTTTATTTATAATTAATATCGACAATACATTGGCTGTATTGGCCCAATGTATGCTAATCAATGCTGAGCCAATGTAACGCCAATGAACTGTGCTACTAGAGGTTTTGTGTTTTTGTTATAACGCTTTTCAACTTCATCGAATCGTAGAGCCATCAATAGACTCCTCGACGTTTCCTGCACCGATAAGAAAAGAGAGATCGAATCATCTCGATCATTTTTCCAGAAGTTGCGAGCGAATGAAAATGCGCTGGCTAAAATTCACCCACGTTTAGGGGTGAATTTTGCGTTTAGGTTTATGGAGCTTCAAGGGTTAGTGAGTGCGCAAATACGAACGATGTAAAATTCAAGCTGCAACTTTTGCACGCAACGCGACCGTTTCGCGCCATGTTCAGGATCGATCGATCGTATCGTCCACTGATTTGATATCGATCAGTTTTGCGGTTGCATCAGGCTTTTTGCGTCACTTTCTCCGGCCGCTCGTTCGATTCGAGCGAAGCTGTGAGGCGCGGTCGGCCGATTCGTTGTAAAATACGCGACACACCGTGTCATCGTCGCAGCGCGATGGTCCACATTTTTCACGCTTGATTCGATTCGGAAGCCGGGCTCATTGTGCAATCGTGCACGTCGAGCACCGACGGCGGCTCGGAAATTGGCGGCGGGTAGAAGCGACCGACCGCTAAGCGGCGGAGAAGCAATTACGAAACCGAATCGCCATAGATAATAGCTGAGACGCGCCGCGCGACACGCTTTTGAAATTATCAATGACTTTCCGCGCTGCATTATAAAATGAAATTATTCCTTAAGACGAAGTTGTCAATTATTACGTCGCGCCGACTCGTAACGCGTCGCTTTTTACCGACACTGAGAGAAGTTATTCGATAAGAAATTAACCAACGAATATTTCCGATCAAAATACCGAGGAATTTTTGTATCCAGTCAGGAGACATCCGATGAGAAATGTCGGTTCATCATTTTTTCATCGGTTTATCTGACGAGACGCTATTATGATCAAAAGTATCCGATTAATCGGATATCCTGATGGGATATATAAAAATTCATCGGTATTTTGATCGGAAATATCTGTTTGTTAATTTTTTAATTGAATAACTACAGGGTATATGTATCTTTTGCAATATCTCTCTCTTGAAAATAATGAATTACTTTTTTAAATTAATTGTGGTGTTTAATTGACGGTTGATATGAGCCAATTCGATCGAGGGGCCGTTTAATCGGCAATTAATCTCAACAAATTCAATTGAAGAGTGACGATTGATTTCAACGAAATTCAATTAAAGACCGTTTAGTTGGTGACTGTTATGAGCGAAGCGAGTCAAAGATCGTTCAGTTAATAAATTGAACTTAATTAATCGGTTACGACAAGAATTGAAGTGGCAGTATGAAGCGTGACGTTTGCGAAGTTTTGAGGAAAGAATTGAGTTTGAATAGTAAGGGAATATTGTTTTGATAAATAATTTTCATATGATAACCGGTTATTGCGTATACAGCAGTGGCTTTCAATTCTGACAAGTCGTTGAAATCTTATTCGATAAAATGCGTGCGAACCGTTAGCAACCGAGTGTGCAACGTCAAATCTACGCATGTATGTGTGAGAAAACGTTACACGTAATTGAATGTCGTTGCAATGACAACGCATCAATACCAATTATTGGGGATGCAATTGAAAGCAACTCTGTCGCGGGAAAATTTGTATGTGAAAAGGCACTGTGATTAGTGCCACTTGGTGATCAAATGCAGTGAACGCATAGACATGCGAGACTCGCGCAGAATGCGAGATATGGAATTCGCATCGACGTGGTCGCACGAACGCCCGAGTGACTAAAATCGTATCGTATCCGTTGCTACCATAGTATCATAGAAGGTGTCCCGTTACATTTTACGTAATCGAAAACGTGACTCGATCCCGGCCTATCGCGATCGGCCGACGAATTCACGCCTGCATAGTCAGCGAGATAAAACAGCACGGCGAGATAATCGGCGGGATCCTAGGAAAAAGTCCGAGTACCGTCTCGCATATCCGCTTCTGCGACAAAAATCGGCTGAACCCGAGAGTTCCACTTTTACTTCTCCAAGTAACCCGTAATGCGAAAGCGACTCTGCGCCGGAACAATGAGCGAGCCGCTCGCAAGAAGCACGGATGAGAGACGCCAAAGTGCGGGGGAGTCGAGCTTCTCTTGTGGAAGAATCGACTTTTCAATATGTCAGCCGTCAACATCACACACGTGTGACGCACTGCTCTCACTTCAAGCTCATATCTGCTAAAAATCTTCAATTTTATTCAATTTTTTACACAGTTTCGTAGTTTTCTCTTTTCTTCTAACTGAATGCATCAAATTGAAAATGCTTTTATAGGATGAAAGTACAGACATTAATGAATAGCTGACGTTAAATAATTGCATGAAATTGACAATAAAATTTTTTAATAAAAAATAAAATAAATAAGAAAAAGAATTTTCAATTTGATGCATTCAGTTAGGAGAAAAGGAAATTACGAAACTGCGTTATGTCGGGATCCAGCATCGTCTTAAAGGGAATAAGCCGAAATCTTTACTGACAGAATAACAACTTCTGTTTCTAATAAGTAAACCTATCTAAAAGAACTCCCATTCCTTTCTAATTTGGCACAAATGTAGAAGTATAAAAAATATTTAATTCATATTTTTTTCGTTTTGGCCTATTTTGAGTTTCACGGACAGTTTATAGCTTTTTAATGTTCTCACTCCTATCATCAACAAGTGCAACAAAAATGTATAAGAAATAAAATTGAATACAAGATATAGGCGTTTTTGGTTTGCTGATTTTATGAATATGAAGTCAAATATGTAAAATTATTTGTATAAATAATAAAATGTTTAAACAAAATATGTAAAAAGTTGAAAAAAATTATTTATACAGATAATTTCTCGGTTTGGCTGAGATTCGAACTATTTTGACTAATTTAGCATAGATTTGAAATATTTCAGTTGGAATCTCGGCTAAAGAAATTTAGAATGTTTTGTGTCTCAGCTATGCCGATTTTGTTAAAATTTTAATTAAAATTGCTGAATTTCTCGGTTTGGCCGAAATTCGAACTATTTTTGACTAATTTAGCATAGATTTGAAATATTTCAGTTGGAATCTCGGCTAAAGAAATTTAGAATGTTTCGTGTCCCAGCTATGCCGATTTTGTTAAAATTTTAATTAAAATTGCCAGATTTCTCTCTCTCTCTCTTTCGGTTTGGCCGAGATTCGAGCCATTTTTGACTAATTTAGCACAAATTTAAAATATTTCGATTGAAATCTCGGCTAAAGAAATTTAGAATAGTTCGTGTCTCAGCTATGCCGATTTTGTTAAAATTATTTAACTATATCTTGTATTCAATTTTATTTCTTATGCATTTTTGTTGTACTTGTTGATGATAGCAGTGAGAACATTAAAAAGCTATAAACTTCTCGTGTAATTAAAAATGAAAAAATTTGACCTAAATATTTTTTGTACTTATACATTCGTGCCAAATTAAAAAGAAATCTGAGTGTACCTTTTGCGTAGGTTTACTTGTAAGTTGTAACTTGCTCTTTCTTCGCAGATATTCGTCACCCACGACCGAAATCTAACGAAAATTCGACATGAAGACCCTTTTGGTGCTCTTGGCGTACGTGACCCTCGCGTACTGCGGCAAGACCAAGAAGCAGATTGTCGATCAGCAACACATAGTCGACGGCTATGAGTTCGAATATGCGGCGCCGGACGCGACCGCATTGAGCTTGATCGAAACTAGTCCTCATTACGTGGAGGTCGCTGCAAGCGCTCATCATTCAGGCCATGTTATCCGGCCTGGTTACAGCGTGGGTGGCCCTTTGGCCAGTATTGCTAAAGGTTAGACATCACTTCTTAACTTATATATACCTTTGGTCGCGGGTCTTTTAAGCACAAAGATGGTCGCGGGTTACCCGAGAGGTGTACCACATCCATTCACATTCTAAAGAAATCTACATATCAAATGTGGCTGCCTCCTACGGCTCTGACGTTGATTCTACGGAGAACAGAGATGCATTGTTCTAGGGAGGGAGGAGAAAGGGTAAAAAAAGATAGGAGAATATGGGACATATCAGTGTGTGTGTCTGACCGTCACTTTGCGTCATAAAGGAAAGTGATGTTGGTTCGACAAAAGATTGTACCTTCTTTATTATTAACAATGAAGAAACTAAATTTTATGTGAATATTATGTACTTCCTTGGTTTTAATTTTATAGAAATAGATATTAATGAAATTTAAAGTATCGAAAATTATTTGAGCGAAAAGACAACGAGTGATTGTGGTACAATCGACACTGTTGTCGATATTGAAATCGATATTAACTCTTGCCCAAAAAAACAATACTAGAATTATTCATCAGTAATCAATTTTAAACTAAATAATAAACTTTAAATAACAAATAGCAATGTTAAGAATTATGAAAAGAGATATATTGAAAGTAATAGTTTCAATCAAATTGTTTCAACTGACATTATTTCTCCTTATCAGACTAAAATCGGTCGGCATCTCTCAGATACTCGCGGCTACTGCAAGGTTAATGAAAAGTTCTTATGTTTGAGCGATATACGTAAGGAATGTGAGCTCCGGATATGCATAAAAAGTATTTTTCTTAACAATTGCCGATTGTTCGAGTAAATCCAGTTTATTATTATGAAACGACTGAATGGTCTTTACTTCTTTTCTACGTCACGCCGTCATAATTTCATGTTTGCAATCCTCGTGTTGCAAAAGTAACAGAAGTTCAAAGTAAAACGTATTAATGCGTGCAGCTCGCAAAAACCGTACAGTGTCCAGCGATTAATCAGGCGTGACTCGGGCGGGTTGGCGAGATGTTGAAATCCTACGGCGTAAAGGCCAAATCACACTAGCGATTGACGATTGACAATTAAAGATTAGATTTTAACGAATCAACAAACTTCAGCCTTGGCTTGCTTTGTTCCAATTGGTCAAGTTCCAATCTTCAATCGTCAATCATCAATCGCCAATCGCTAGTGTGATTTGGCCTTAAGAGAAGAGCGAACTCCGTGTCGAATGTGTTTCCGTTGCAGGAGCCGCCGAGCAGGCTCACACCCAATTGAACCAGCAGCCCGCGGCGGCCGGGCAGGCGGCCTACGTAGCCAAGAATACCCTGGCCCAAGCGGCGGCGCAATCCGCGGCCACGGCCGCCGCGGCCCTGGCCGGCAAGCAGATCATCGTGATGGGTCTGGAGCAGCAGTCGCGCGACGCGCACGTCGCCGTGGACGGCGAGAAGCAGCAGCTGCAGCAGGCTTCGCGCGCGGCCGCGGCGGCGAAGAACGCGGCGCAGCAGGCGTTGCACCAGGTGCAGGTGATCACCACGGCGTTGAACGCCGCGCAGGCGACCGCGGAGCACGCCGCCCAGGCAGCGGCCGAGGCCGCGGCCGAGCTGGCAGCGCAGACGACGATGGTGGGCCAGGCGAAGGCACGCGCCGAGACGATCGCCGAGCAGCTCGTGGCGGCGCGCCTGGACTTCGAGACCACGCAGTCAGCTGCGCAGAAGGCCGCGCATGCCGCGCAAGCCGCGCAGGGTAATGCCGCGGCTGCGGCCGCGCATGCGGCCCAAACCGCGGCCGTGGCTTCCGCGGCGAACCATGCTCTGCACAGCGACCATGCGATTGCCCTGCACGGAGACCATGGGATTGCCCTGCACGGCGACCATGCGGTCGCTCTGCACAGCGCCGTCGAGCCGACGATCAGCTTGGCGAACGCTCTACCCGTGGACGGCTACGAGTACAAGGGTTACTATTGAGAGGCAGGCAAGAGGGAGACGAGGCGTCCGACGATCGAAGCTCGCCGTTGAAAGTCTGACATTTTTGTATAATCGAGCGCTCCAACGGCGCTCGGTTATGGGTACGGTCTAGCAACGCTACAAATGCTTTGTAACGTTTTTACTTCTTTCTCTTTCTTCATTCGAATCCGAGAAATGGGACAAGAAAGAGAAATGCTGCGCAGCATTTGTAGCGGTTACTGAACCGCGCCCTGTATTGAGAGACACACATCTGGGGATTCTCTTTCTGGAAGACTGGACACGGCCGTTTTGGATGTTAAGCGTGTTGAGTATACGCGATATCTTGTGTTTCTTCCCTCCGCAAGTGTACGCACTCGCCACTTAGCGTCGAAGCGGCGCTTATGAGCCGTCTCTTCTCTTCTTTTTTACTTCCGTGGGATGCAGCGATCATACATCACTGTCATCTCACGTGCAGAAACGCACAATAAAATGTTGCCATCTTGAACCTTATGTGTGTTGTGCTCATTATTACTTACTTTCTTCCTTCTCCCTCCCTCCCTCCTCCCTCTCTTTCTATCTCCTTTCTTCTGTTACGGAATCTTCAAACTAACTTTTCAGACTATAATGATAATTGTGTGATAGTGATACGTAGAACAGTAATGATAATTGTGTAATGTTCCACATTCTGCTGTGTAATGTATTTAAAATCCAGTTTGACAAGACAACTCAAGACTTCAGATCATTAACCGATTTCAAGATCATTAACCGATTTCAAAAAAAGAGAATTCTCAATTTGGCCCGTATTTTTGTCTGTGTGTATGTTTGCAATTATCCCGATTCTTATGAAATAAGAAATTCTAAGAAAAATTCATACGTTCCATATAGTCATTTCATGACTAAGAAAAATTATTAGGAAATGAACTTAGACATTTAGAAGGTTTTTTGGCAAACTTGGATCATTTTTAATATACCCAGAGCGTCGAAGGATATTTTTAGAATATTTAATTGTAATAAAAAATATAAATGTAATAATATATAAATATAAATATAAATATAAATTTATATAAATATAAATTGTAATAAAGAAGGAAAGAGCATATAAGAACCAAGCATGATTAAAGTGCAATTAATGTATTATAATATAATAAAATACAAATGTTATTATGTTTTTTAAAGAGGACCCAAATCGGGTCGAAACGTAATAACATTTGTATTTCATTACATTACAATATATTAGGTGTACAACTTTGCTTCCGCCATTTTCCTATAAATGGCTTTAGCGGTAAGTGGTGGTCGAAATAAATAGATCATAGACGTCATACAATAAACTTGGGCATCTGTCAACATAATCCCATAGAAACAT